TTGTTATGGGTCTATTCAGGGTTTCGACTTCTTCCTGGTTTAGGCTTGGGAGGAGGCAAGTGTCCAGGAATTTATCCATTTCTTCCAGGTTTACTAGTTTATGTGCATAGAGTTGTTTGTAATAATCTCTGATGATGGTTTGAATTTCTGTGGAATCTGTGGTGATATCCCCTTTATTGTTTTTTATTGCATCAATTTGGTTATCCTCTCTTTTCTTTTTATTAATCTGTCTAGTGGTCTATTTTGTTGATCGTTTCGAAAAACCACCTCCTCGATTTATTGATTTTTTTGAAGGGTTTTTTGTGTCTCTATCTCCTTCAGTTCTGCCCTGATCTTAGTTATTTCTTATCTTCTGCTAGGTTTTGAGTTTTTTTGATCTTGCTCCTCTAGCTCTTTCAATTTTGATTATAGGGTGTCAATTTTCGATCTCTCCTTCCTTCTCATATGGGCACTTACTGCTATATATTTTCCTCTAGAGACTGCTTTAAATGTGTCCCAGAGATTCTGGTATGTTGTGTCTTCGTTCTCATTGGTTTCGAAGAACATCTTTATTTTTGCCTTCATTTCATTGTTTATCCAGTCAACATTCAAGAGCCAGTTGTTCATTTTCCATGAAGCTGTGCGGTTCTGAGTTTGTTTCTGCATTGTGAATTCTAACTTGATTGCACTGTGGTCTGAGAGACTGTTTGTTATTATTTCCATTCTTTTGCATTTGCTGAGGAGTGATTTGCTTCCAATTATGTGGTCAATTTTAGAGTAGGTGTGAAGTGGTGCTGAGAAGAATGTATATTCTGTGGATTTGGGGTGGAGAGTTCTGTAAATGTCTATTAGGTTTGCTTGTTCTAGGTCTGAGTTCAAGTCCTGGATTATCCTTGTTAATTTTCTGTCTGGTCGATCTGTCTAATATTGACAATGGGGTGTTAAAGTCTCCCACTATTATTGTGTGGGAGTCTAAGTCTCTTTGTAAGTCATTAAGAACTTGCCTTATAAATCTCGGTGCTCCTGTATTGGGTGCGTATTTATTTAGGAGAGTTAGCTCTTCTTGTTGTATTGATCCTTTTACCATTATATAATATCCTTCTTTGTCTCTTTTGATCTTTGTTGCTTTAAAGTCTAATTTATCAGAGATGAGAATTGCAACTCCTGCTTTTTTTTTGCTCTCCATTTGCTTGGTAAATCTTCCTCCATCCCTTTATTTTGAGCCTTTGTGTATCCTTGCATGTGAGATGGGTTTCCTGGATACAGCACACCGATGGGTTTTGGCTTTTTATCCATTTTGCCAGTCTGTGTCTTTTGATTGGGGCATTTAGTCCATTTATATTTAGGGTTAATATTATTATGTATGAATTTGATCCTGCCATTTTGATGCTAGCTGGCTCTTTTGCCCGTTAGTTGATGCAGATTCTTGATTGTGTTGATGTCCTTTGCCATTTGGTATGTTTTTGGAGTGGCTGGCACTAGTTGTTCTTTTATATGTGTACTCTTTCAGGAGCTCTTGTAAAGCAGGTCTGGTGGTGATGAAGTCTCTGAGTACTTGCTTGTTTGCAAAGGATTTTATTTTTCCTTCACTTATGAAGCTTAGTTTGGCTGGATAAGTGATTCTGGGTTGAAAGTTCTTTTCTTTAAGGATGTTGAATATTGGCCCCCACTGTCTTCTGGCTTGTAGAGTTTCTGATGAGAGATCTGCTGTGAGTCTATTGGGCTTCCCTTTATGGGTAACCCGACCTTTCTCTCTGGCTGCCCTTAGCATTTTCTCCTTCATTTCAATCCTGGTGAATCTGACGATTATGTGCCTTGGGGTTGCTCTTCTTGAGGAATACCTTTGTGGTGTTCTCTGTATTTCCTGGACTTGAATATTGGCCTGCCTTGCTAGGTTGGGGAAGTTTTCCTGGATAATATCCTGAAGAGTATTTTCCAGCTTGGATTCATTCTCTTCATCACATTCAGGTACACCTATCAAATGTAGATTAGGTCTTTTCACATAGTCTCACATTTCTTGGAGACTTTGTTCATTCCTTTTTACCCTTTTTTCTCTATTCTTGCCTTCTCGTTTTATTTCATTGAGTTGATCTTTGATCTCTGATATCCTTTCTTCTGCCTGGTTAATTCAGCTGTTGAGACTTGTGCATGCTTTGCGAAGTTCTCGTTTTTTTTTTTTTCAGCTCCATCAATTCACTTATATTCCTCTCTATGTTGTCGATTCTTGTTAGCATTTCGTCAAATCTTTTTTCAAGGTTCTTAGTTTCTTTGCATTGGGTTAGAACATGTTCTTTTAGCTCACTGAAGTTTCTTATTACCCACCTTCTGAAGTCTGATTC